ACAGCTCTTGTTAAGTGTCAGTGAAAGATGCATTGGCAGCTGGAAATCCCAACTTCCCCACTAAAAGCGTTCTCTGTGCTGTACCTTTAGATTCTAAAATGTAGCAGTGCAATGTTCGGTCTGCGACTGTACTGTATGAGAAAGTGTTTATTTCCTAAAAAGAACAGGAGTACTTGTGGCATCTTAGAGACTAACCAATTTATTTGAGCATAAGCTTTCGTGAGCTACAGCTCACTTCATCGGATGCATACATACTCTACACTTTCCACAGTATGCATCCGATGAAGTGAGCTGTAGCTCACGAAAGCTTATGCTCAAATAAATTGGTTAGTCTCTAAGGTGCCACAAGTATTCCTTTTCTTTTTGCGAATACAGACTAACATGGCTGTTACTCTGAAACCTATTTATTTCCTTATAGCCTGTTCTCCTGTGCAGTCCACTCCTTTCAGATCAGAACACTGAATTTAGGGGATTTGTGGAGCAGTACAGTCTCAGACTTTCAATTAGTATTGAACTTCCTCAAAGCATAAAGAGTTAAGGATTACAAATCAAAGTGATGGGTTTTACCTATCTCTGTTTGAATTTAACTAGACATGGGTCAGTTGTAACTCAGGTAGTGGGAGTTAGTTCTAATGTAAATTTATATTTAATCTTCCTAGTCTTGGACAGTGCTCACTAAACTCGTGGCCAGTTTCTGATCTTTGTTACATGTGGGTAAATCCAGAGATAAGTTGAGTGATTTCATTGGCGTTACCTAGATGTAACAGAGATCAGTATCTGACCCAGTGTATTTAAATTAGGCTGTCCAAGCTAGTATGGTGGTATGCCAGTAATTCAGCCATCACACTGGCGATTGAGGGTTGGGAACAGATTAAGGAGTCTCATTGGTCTCTCATGCATCTGATGAAGTAAGCTCACAAAAGCTTATGCTCAAATAAATTGGTTAGTCTCTAAGGTGCCACAAGTACTCCTTTTCTTTTGCAGATACAGACTAACACTGCTGCTACTCTGAAACCTGTCACTGGTCTAGTAAACAGATAATTATGGAAATGATTTCTTCTGTCTGTGGGCTGAACTTTGTGCTCTATTCAACAACTCATGAAAGAGCTTGACCTTGGAAAATAAGGTGGACAGGAGGAGGATTGCTCACTAGTTTCTTATTTCTGTTATCTCCATATAGCTCCATTGGTATTTTAAAGATGAACAGTATGCTAAGGAGGGAGGATTGCTAACACACTAGTAGTGTCTTATTTCTGTTATCTCAATATAGCTCCAGTGGTATTATCAAGACAAATAGTATGCCAAAACTTAAAAGTGAACATATGCTTATGGGGGTGGGGAGTATAGGGGTCACTGTTGTTTCTTTCTAGTGAGAAAAGACTTAATGTGCTTGGTTTAGATAAGTTAAGGTTCACAGCTGAGCTGATCTCAGAAGTTGGCTCCCTAATTTCACATGGCTCCCTAAACTTTTCAGAGCTTACAAAATTCCACAGCCAGAGTTTTTTTTATGACATAGCTAACACAGTTCTAACTTACTCCAGTCCCAACTGGTCGTCATTGACTCCTGAGGCAACACCACCTTGACTTTAAATGTGTTGTGTGAACTGTACAAGTATATTTATTTCCGTGTTACTTTAGGGCTTTGTTTTTCCTATGTCTCTGGTCCTTTTTTGTACTCTTCTTCTTTGTGTCATTGAAACTACCATATGTTTTGGTGATTTGTCTTTCCCTATTACATAGAATCGTAGGATTGGAAAGGACCTCGAAAGGTAATCTAGTCCAATCCCCTGCACTCGTGGCAGGACTAAGTATTGTCTAGTTTACACTCCCTACCTCTGTGTATTCAGAAGCAGTGTCCCTACGTATTTTTTAATCCAGGTGAAAACAAATGTGCTTTATTCTAGTTTTGTGTTTGTGTGTTGGTTATAAAATGTGCTAAGGTGCTCACAGTAAACACAGTCAGACAGACTGATAATTTGTCAAACTGTCCAAAGAGTCCTAAAATGAAATAAGGTGAATGGAAATTCTGGTGTCTTAGTCTAACTATTTGCAATCTCAATTCTGGATTTAGGACTTGAAAGAGTCAAGAGCATTACTGTCAATTACAAAACTGCTTGCCATCTTTGATCCACTTGGTGTACGTCATTTGAACTTTGCTATTTTATACTTAATATTAATCAGTTTATAACCAGGTGTTGGTAACTCAATGATACACTTTATATTGTTTAAACAGAAAATAAGTATGTGTCATTTTTTAGAAAAGAAAAACTTCTGATATGAAAATAAATCCATTCAAGTGTTTCATAGAAAAGGTGTCTCAATCAACTGGAATGCTGTTGCTTTGATAGAAAGGGTGAATGATTCCCCCCCCCCCCCCCAAGTATATTATCAGTTCTCTAATGTTAATAGGGTTTAATAGTTATACTTTAGATCTGTACGATGTAGAAGGGTTGCAAATGGAGATAAAAGTGTGTATAGGAACAATGAGATCCAGAAGTACAACATATGGTACATATGTCCTTTCAGAGCTTTCATTTATATATCCAGGATATACCTCTTCATCTGAATCTCAAAAAGCTAGCTAGTGGCTCCCGTATCTATTCTCTCTACTTCAAAAATATTGTTTAGTTCTCTCAAGCATTGATTTATACCATCTTATGTTTTTCAGGCTTTGGCAATTTGTTCCAAATTCCAGTTTCCAGATATTCTTTATGTGAAAGATGTTCTAACTGAAATACTTATGTGCTCATTCCCTCATGAACATCATCCCATTTGTGGTTTCTTGTGTTTGAATTAATAAACAACTTATTCACAACCATCTATTCCTTGCTTTCCAGTGTGTCTCATGCCCTGTGAGATTGCACTGTTTTTCCATAACCTTTTTTATTAAACTGTAAAAGCCAAGCATAGCCAATCTTTCTTCAGAATTTATATCTGCTCCCCAAATCTGCAATCATTTTGCCCTCTGCTGCTTGCTTTCAATTTCACCAATACCCTTGATTTTCTAAGCTAACAGGAATCGCACAAAGTGGTCTAGGTTCCGACATCCATTACATCTGTGTTAATTAGGTGCAACTCCACTGAAGTCAATTGAGTTACTCCATATTTTCCTGGGTGCAAGTGAGATCAGAATTTGGCTCATTTTTCTACATGCAGCCTTGAATTGTGTCAAAATAACTTCTCTCTCTACAACCTTTCTCTGTGTATCCCAAGATTGTGTTACTGCTTCCAAGCATTGTGCAGATGCTTTTAGTGTCCTTATTTTCCTCCTGGACCCCTTCCCCCAAGTCTTTTCTTGGTTTATATACCGTATTGTGCTGTTCAGTAGTTTTTACAATTGTCCGTGTCTCCTAGTTTTGTTGCCTTAACGTCTTTATAATCTCTACAAGTCAGTTATTAGTCCATAAGACTAATTTATACAAGTCATTTGGAATTTGTGTGCTCTGTTCCTGTGCACAATGTCTAATTTCCTCCATTATGTTACCCATCTATAGTTCTAGGATTTTCAAAATCCTTCCCTTTACAAAGTCATTTTCATATAAAGTAAACAGATATGGCACCAGGTCTGACCCTGCAGCACCCCCTTCCTTATCTCTCTCCTCCCTGAGCTGTTTCCTTTCACTGGCACCCTGTGTTTCCTGTGCCAAAGCCAGTTTAGAATCCATTTCAATAGGTTGCTTGTAGGATACTTTCTTATTCTGCAAGTCAAACGCTCATGTAGTAGAGTATCAGATACTTTCCTGAAACATGGATACAGTAAACTATCTCCATTGTTTCAGCCTTATCTACCAAATCAGTAACGTGGTTAAAGAATTCAAGGACATTTTTTAGACAGGACCTTCCTTTTTGTAGTTCATGTTGACGTACACATCTTTCAAATGTTTCATAGTGTTATCCCTTATCAATTGTTTCTCTTTAGTTGAAATGAGGCTTAGATATCCAGATCCTTCCTTGAGTTTTATTAAAAATATGGGTACTATAATATCCATCCTTCGAGTACTAACTGAGACCTCAGTATACTATTAGAAAACTTTGCCAAAGACTTTCCTATTTTCCCTCATTGTCTCCTTCTGCACTGGAGTGTATAAAAACAGTGCTTGGTCAACCTTTAATAATTATAAATGTTTTGTTATCTAATCCAATGCACTAGGAACTTTAAAAAAAAAATCATATTCTTCACCCAAGGAATATTTAGTGCATTCTCAGAGTTGTTACCCTTCCTTTTATTTTGGGAATGAAATCACTGAGAAAAACTATAGTAAACAGTATTGGGTAAATTTTGCCCTCACAGGTGGATGCACAGCTCCTCTTATCTTCAGGAGGAGTTCCACATACATGTCTATGGGCAGCATCTGCCCCTACTAGTGTAATTTAAGGTCACAAAAGGAAGGATATTCAGAATTTAAATGGAAATATGTCTGATCTTTACAGGAGAACTCCTTTGTATGTGGGAGATCCATGACTGCTTAGTCTTTGGTATAGCAGTGTTCCAGGAAAAATGTCTCATGACTTGCCAGGAGACCTGATAGAAATACAAAGCTCTGCACATGTTGCCGAAAAAGGTGGAAAGGGACCAGCAGAGAGACAAACCTTGCCTGTGTATGATGCTGTAGTATAGCTAGGCTTCAGTTAGTGGCAAACAAATTAAATTATTCATGGAAAACCTGTGTCCCAAATATATATATATATATATATATATATATAATGCCAAAGAACTAAAATAGATGGTATTGGGCATAAAATATGGATGTTTACTGTTTTGTTAGAATTGGTCTTTTAGTATATTTAGTACAATCACATAGAAAAAATCATATTATACAGCTGATTCCCCCTAGTACTTCCCAATATGTATATCGAGAACTCAGGTTCCCATTTTACATTTGAACTAAATTGATACTGTTGATACATTTATTCATTTATGTATATGGTGCCATTGCTGTGCATGTGTCTTTGTTTTTCTTGAACAAGTCTAAAGCTTTCTTTTCCCTCACCCTTTTTAGATTGATGCATTAGGTAAAAGAAGCAAAGAAGCAGAGGCAGCCTTCTTGAATGTCTATAAGAGATTAATTGATGTTCCAGGTAAGCAAATTATTATCCTACTCTGAAAAGCAAATGGTCTCAGTAGTTCCAGATGCTATTGGGAATTCCTTCTTCTTCTTTTGCCTTTGCTAAGTTATATCTGAGTAGTGGTTTTATTCTCAAATTGATGTACTATGACATTGTTTCTAATGGAAAGAACCCTAACTTAGGCGCATTCATGGCTCCTCTTAAAACAGTTCATTGAGTTCACATGTTAAGTATTGTAAGAATCATTTTATATTTAATTGTTGTAGTACCATATGATTCTTAAACCTGTTCTGAATGTTAATGGTTTGTTAAATAAATTCACAGCCTTTCGAGAGAGACTATCTGAAACTTTATCTTAATGATGCAAACCAAATAAATTAATGTCGTAGCTCCGTTTAAAGTGCAGAGAAAGGAGCAACTCTGCGCATCTCCAGGCAAACACAAACCTTTCAGTTTGTTTTCAGAGCTCAGTCTCTATCACTGCTGCTAAGTAGTTGTGAACAGGAAAAGCATTTTGGATATTGACAAACTAAACTCTGTCAAGCTTCAATTTTATTAAAATTAAGTCTGTACCTAATTATTAAGTAAAGGCTGTTCATGTATAGTATCAGATTGGAAGTTTCCTTTATTCCTGGGGCAGCCCAAATTTTAAGATTTTTTTTTTCTCTACTTACAATTTGAGAGAGGGTATAGTTTTGTATGGTAAATAGGTGCATTAGATTGGTTGGAGATTTTTTATTTTTGCTGTCATGTTCAGATAAGATGGCTGGGAGTCAGAGTCCTGGGTATTCTTTCCAGCTCCATCATTGTCTGCATGGTCATGGACAAGTGACAAGTTAGACAATCATGTATTCATTGCAAATTTCTAACAGTAATACAATTCTCAATTTTTTATTTACAGCTTGTTTCATCATTAAGTATTCATCACTTAATTCCCCAGACAGAGCATTATAATTAAAATTATTATCATTTGTATTACAGAAGTGCATAGAGGCAAGGGCCCCTTTGTGCTGGGTGCAGTACAATGAATATATAGATAACATATCATGGACTCGTCCATATTCATTCTGCCCATCTAAGGGGGCCTGCCGTTCCCCAGGCAGTAGCTTATCCAGTTAGGTTGTTCAAATATGGCCTGTGAGTTTTTATTCATTTACTTGTTTCCTACTCTGTGTCCTCACCCTTTTGTAGATAAGTCACAGTTTACTGCACTTGCCCTGTGGCTCAGAAAGGTAATAGATTTCTCCAAGAAGGCCTATACTTAAGTGTCCCATGCAAGAGGCATATGGCAGCCTGCTATGTTGTCCTCTAAGCCATAATTTGTCAAACAAGTGAACCTGATTTCTCATGGTCCATTTTCAGCACTGATTGGTTACATAGAAAGAAGAGAGCAGTAGAAGATGCACACTCATCCCACTCCTGCACAGTAGAAGATATTTTCAGTAGAACACACATTATCATAGGTGCAAGATCCAAAAGGCGTAAAGTCAAATTGAAAATTTCATGTGGAACATAAAAATATATGGTTTCAGAGTAGCAGCCGTGTTAGTCTGTATTCGCAAAAAGAAAAGGCGTACTTGTGGCACCTTAGAGACTAACAAGTTTATATGAACATACGCTTTCGTGAGCTACAGCTCACTTCATCTGAATGCATCCGATGAAGTGAGCTGTAGCTCACGAAAGCTTATGTTCATATAAACTTGTTAGTCTCTAAGGTGCCACAAGTACTCCTTTTCTTTTTATAAAAATATGACTCTCCTGTTCGGGGATCCTTACTTACGAGAGAGATTTCTATAGTACCTCGTTGTGAGTAAAAGACTTCTTCTTTTCCTTCGTTAGCCCAAGCGTTATACATGCAGTCTTTCACACTCCGCGGTCTTTCGTTGCCCACCTGTTACATATACACATTGTATTTTGTATGCCAGTCAGGTTTTTTTTTTTTTTTTTTTTTTAATTTTGCGATTCTTACCATCACAGGAAAATTTAAGATGGCTAGGTTAGAACACAGTGGAATCTGTGGGGCTGGTAATAACTGCAGGGTTTCCCCCCTCAGTTAAATCTCCAGAAATCATGCCTCATGGACAGTGGCATTGGAACAAGTTTTATAGTGGGAGTGCTGAAAGCCATTGAAGAAAACTATTAACTCTGTATGTGATGGAAGCCACTTCAAGCCAGGGGATAATGCCACACTCATAGTTCCAGCACCCCTGCTCGTGGAAGGAAGAGCCTGCTTGGTGTTCACCTTTTAAATGAGATTGCGTGGTGAATGGAAAGACTTCTGTTAGATCCCTGCCTGTGGTGGAACAAAAATTTTAAAAATTGAGAATAAACCCAATATATCCCTTTATGGCTATATACAGGTATGCAAGCACTTATTTTCCACAAACCATTTAATGAAAATTAAATCTAGTCCATCAGGGTGAAAAGGTGAAGCACCTGTGTACTTTCCCAGATGTCTTCGTGTAGATATGCTGCTTACAGTGCTGATACTGATAATGCCATCATTTTGTGCTAGTCTTTCATGTTTTTTCCCATCTTTCATGGTCTTCTATGTTTATGGATTGCCTTTCTCTCTCTAAATGATATCAGCATACCTTTGTCAGGCGTGTGGTGTTTTGCTTGTGTTTAGCACTACATATGTGACCTACCACTTCTGTCTGATGTCTCAAATATTTACTCATATTCTCAGTTTCAGAATGTAGCTATGATTTTTTTCCGATGTGCATACTAACCTATGCCATTCTGATAATGCTATGATCCTGCAGAGATGCAGCATGGAACGAAGGTTGGAATTCTGCAGAGTGGCTATTTAGTATCACACATCACTGTTATATGACCAGGGTACAGTTTTATCAGAAATTAAGTATTCTTTATAGTACCATATTAAAAATTGCACCTGTCTAAATCCCAGCAGGTGGTTTTATGGGTCTTGAAGAAAGCATATATATCTCTGTTCAGTAATAACGTACATACTTTGTATAATTAAAAACAGCTACTATTTTAATTTTACTCATAAAATATATCCATACTGAAACACCAGATGTGATCCTTCATGGATTCAGCTAAGTCTGAGGACTTTCTTTACTGACTTGTATAGCAAATTTTCACTTGGACTCATCTGTAAAGAATTTGGGAAAAAAGTGACATTTTTATCTGCATAATTGCCCTTATGAATAGAATGGTTTGCTCATATAAAGGATAGCTATGCCCTTTCCCACCTATTTATATTACTATTCAAGTACCCCATCAACCTGTGTGTACTAAAAAAGCATCATTCTTAAAGTTAAATCCCATAAAGTATACCTTGAGTATGTTTTGTGTACATTTATGTTGCTTTAATTGTTCAAAAATATCCTCACCCATAACTATTTCACATTTGGGGACAATGTATACCTTCAAATCAGCGGCACTGCTATGGGTACCCGCATGGCCCCACAGTATGCCAACATTTTTATGGCTGACTTAGAACAACACTTCCTCAGCTCTCGTCCCCTAATGCCCCTACTCTACTTGTGCTACATTGATGACATCTTCATCATCTGGACCCATAGAAAAGAAGCCCTTGAGGAATTCCACCATGATTTCAACAATTTCCATCCCACCATCAACCTCAGCCTGGTCCAGTCCACACAAGAGATCCACTACCTGGGCACTACGGTGCTAATAAGCGATGGTCACATAAACACCACCCTATTCCGGAAAACTACTGACCGCTATTCCTACCTACATGCCTCCAGCTTTCACCCAGACCACACCACACGATCCATCGTCTACAGCGAAGCTCTACGATACAACCGCATTTGCTCCAACCCCTCAGACAGAGACAAACACCTACAAGATCTCTATCAAGCATTCTTACAACTACAATACCCACCTGCTGAAGTGAAGAAACAAATTGACAGAGCCAGAAGAGTACCCAGACGTCACCTCCTACAGGACAGGCCCAACAAAGAAAATAATAGAATGCCACTAGCCATCACCTTCAGCCCCCAACTAAAACCTCTCCAACACATCATCAAGGATCTACAACCTATCCTGAAGGACGACACATCACTCTCACAAATCTTGGGAGACAGGCCAGTCCTTGCCTACAGACAGCCCCCCAACCTGAAGCAAATACTCACCAGCAACCACACAACAGAACCACTAACCCAGGAACCTATTCTTGCAACAAAACCCGTTGCCAACTGTGTCCACATATCTATTCAGGGGACACCGTCATAGGGCCTAATCACATCAGCCACACTATCAGAGGCTCGTTCACCTGCACATCTACCAACGAGATATATGCCATCATGTGCCAGCAATGCCTCTCTGCCATGTACATTGATCAAACTGGACAGTCTCTACGTAAAAGAATAAATGGACACAAATCAGATGTCAAGAATTGTAACATTCATAAACCAGTCAGAGAACACTTCAATCTCTCTGGTCACTCGATTACAGACCTAAAAGTCGCAATATTACAACAAAAAGACTTCAAAAACAGACTCCAACGAGAGACTGCTGAATTGGAATTAATTTGCAAACTGGATACAATTAACTTAGGCCTGAATAGAGACTGGGAGTGGATGTGTCATTACACAAAGTAAAACTATTTCCCCATGTTTATTTCCCCCACGTACCACTGCTGCTCAGACGTTTCTGTTAACTGCTGGAAATGGCCCACCTTGATTATCACTACAAAAGGTGTCGTCCACCCCACCCCCACCCCGCGCTCTCATTACACCCATTTTTTCATGTTCTGTGTGTATACAAATCTCCTCACTGTATTTTCCACTGAATGCATCCGATGAAGTGAGCTGTAGCTCACGAAAGCTTATGCTCAAATACATTTGTTAGTCTCTAAGGTGCCACTAGTACTCCTTTTCTTTTTGTGAATACAGACTAACATGGCTGCTACTCTGAAACCAAAAATATACTGTATGTTTTGTTGGGGACCAAAACATTTTTTTTTAAATAAAAAATTCTTTTCTAATTTAACTTCTTTTTATAGAACAGAGTTAATATAA